GCCAACTGACAGTAGAAATCTGCTACCTGTTTAAAATTTGTCTGACAGCGATCGCAAAATCCAGTTGTATGAACTTTCCAACTTTGAGCCGTACTGCCAGATCAGTGCCTTGGAAGCCGTCCCTTTGAGACTGGACTACTGGTAAGCAACACTCCGTTCCTGCTGTCATTCCCAGTTCAGCATCAATACTCTGTAGTCTGCATTTTCTCTTTCACTGTCTGCACTGTTGGATCTGTCTGGTCTTGACAGCAATTATAGTTTCACGTGACGTATATTCACAATATCATGTTAGAAATACAAAGCTGTGTTGTTACATAGGCCATTTCATTTCTCTTAATTATAATCTGAATTGTATTACTCTATCTATATTATATATTTGGGTGTTTATTCAGCTTGAAGTCAGACTGAATGATAAATGATAGTATATGGATGCATCCTGTGACTGATGGTGAGTGAATGTGAAATACAGCTAATGCTGTTGAGAATCTGCCTCCAAAATACTGGGCACTAAGAAATGTTCAGTATAAACAGGACATGATGCTGACTGACAATGCCATGCACAGCTTAGGTGAGTGATCCCAAAGCTTCCTTATGAGGTCCTAGTCTTTAGCTACCTTATACTGTGGGTGATTATGAGGGAAAATATATTACATCTCCCATGTTTTGGAGTATTACAGAAGCATAGAACAGTCCTCCTCTCTTTTCATTCAAGCATATATATATGTTTACTCTGTGAACTTGTGCAAGTTGGTTGAGGTAAAATTTCTAACCATGTAATTTGATGAAGGCTGTATCTACATAGGCAATGAGCAGCTTGGTGGAGCAAGACACTGGTGCTGAGGTCCAGCATCCACACTATGCACATTCCCAGTGGTTTTACCTCAGTCCATGGGGCCAGCTGGGCTCTAATGGTGAACGCATTGGGTGCAGTTTCAAAGAGAGTCCAGTTTTTGCAGGCTGATGCTGTGTGGGAATGCAACCAGAGCACAGGTTGAGTGCTAGGGCTGTCAGTGTCAGCCGTGCCTCTAGCCCGGGCAGCAGTGCCGACGCAGACGTGCCCATGGCCCCTACCTTGCTCTGCTGTTTGTGAAACTATTGCCCTCCCTCTCTTGGGCTGCCGCTGCGCAGGGTCAGGTCTGACTCCCCGCTGTGTTTTTCCTGAGGCCTTAAGCCTGTGCCAAGTTAGGCTTATGTCCTAAGTGTGGACAAAATAGTGAATCACAGACATTGCTTGTGTTTGCTTAGCCCTGTTAGTTGAGATAACAGCCTCTTCCTTGATCATGGGGTGGTTGCTAGGAAATACTGATGATCAGAAGACCCTCTGAGGGGTCTGTGGTGGGGCTGGCAGACAAACAGATTTCTAGAGAGCATTCTTGCTCTCTTGCACAAGACTGATTTGGGCCACTTCTTCTGAAACATGTTTAGGATTCAGTTTCTGTCCTGTCCTGTTTTTCTGCTGTTCAGGCGGCTGATATACCCTTGTCATCCATGCCGCGCTCTGCCGAATCCTGCTGTCTGCTGCAGGAGTCGGGGCCATTCTTCTGAGGGCAGCACTGGGTGAACAAGTTTAATCCTGCTTCCTTCCAAGTGACTAAAAGCAGGACTGCCTCCAGTGTGATAAATGTCCCCACTAACTACTGCATACTGCCCCAAACAGCCTGCTGTCATGATAAAATATTTATAACTAATTGTTTTGTTAAATGAAACATGTACTTTAACGCAGCTTTTATAATTAACAAGCCGTGTTACAACTAATTTTGCACGTGATGTTTCACAGTTTATTATCAGGTACTGCAAGGATCTATAATAAGTAGCTACAAACAGCTGCCTATATTAAGCTGGAGTATTGCAAACCAAAAGCAATTAGGCTCCTGGGAAGCTTAGTATTATTAGTTTGTAAAAAACCCCTATAAGGGTAGGACCTTTGCCAAACAAAAGGTTGGGTTAATGGGATGATAAAGCAATAAACCTTGTAATGCATGAACACGTTATTGTGGCGGTAGGATGATAGGGATGTTTTAGCACAGACTTTGATGAAACCAGGGTTTTGTTCACACCAAATGTTTAAAAATACTTGTAGGTTTAAACAGTACTTAATGATGCATTAGGTGACCTGAATGCTGGCCTTAGCTTTGAGATAATGTTTTGTGCTTAGAGTGAGGAATCCTCAGTGTATTTTGGTTACATGAACATAGCTAGCATTTACCATTAAAACTGTTCAGTTTGCATACTGCAGACAGTAGGACAGGCTTGAGGAGTTTGTTCTGAGCTATTTTTCCAAAATGAAATCTCTGATGTCTGTCTTTCATCTTGTTCTCACCAAGCCAGAGGCTGTGAATATAAGGAACTGTTAGAGATTTAGCTTTGTTAGTTCACTAACTTGATCAAAGCAATGAAGAGTGTTAAGTTCTCTCTTATTCATTTCTGCTGTGCAAGCATGGAATATCCACTACAATAAAATTGACATCAGTGTCTGGCAGGAAAAACCTCATTATTATTATTATTAATGGGACTTTATCTTGCAGTCAGTAAAGCAAAAGAAGACTCAAAACAAATAAACCTCAGATTTTTCATATAGCAAATGTAGTCTGAGGAGACGGCTCTGAATGCTTATTAAAGCATCTTCCGGGAAAAAATTATTCATTGGCTAGAGTTAGGAAGATATGTATCTTTCCTCTTCCATCCCTGCCTGACAGAATAAGCATGGCATACAGCACTGAGGCTCACAAATTCTCTTTTTTTGCCTGCCCAGTCCTCACAAGCTCATTCCTCCCAGGAGGTGTTAACCACAGGATTTTGGCTGATTTTTCTTCTTTTAACTGTTATTGTAGTGGGAGACTAAGCCATACTTTTTCCTCATAAAGAACTGTCTAAATCCTCTCCTGCATGAGCCAGCTTCTGATTTGGGACATCAAACTTTGCAGCTGAAAGGCTGAAGAAAGCCCTGGCGAATGCAGCACATGGGAAATAGCCCAGCTTCCCTGAAATGTTTAGGCCAGATTCTCCCAGGGCATGCCTTGGGAGTAGATTATGGGTGGGTGGCAACGGTGAGCCTTTCTTACGCCATTTTAGTTTTCTGTAAAAACCTCAAAGCAGCACACACTGCACAAGAAGGAGGAAGCCTAGTCAGGTATATCCAGGCTCTTTTACAGCCTCTATCACTGTGATATGAACAGCTTCTAGCAGTGCGGGGGTGAGCAACCTACTGAGTCTGGGAGGTGCTTACTGCAGTTGCCATGTGGCCGAGAGCCAAAAGACATTAACTGAGGAGAAGCTGCACAAAAGCCACTGCTGACAGTTCCCAGAGGGTCTCACTGCCTCCGTTCATGACAGTGTTGGGCGGACAACCTGTCCATGCCATGTTCAGCTCCCCCGCTGGCTCATTTCCTCCCGCAGCTGGAGATTTGGATAACTCAAATCTTGTACAGTGGTCTTCTCCTGTGCTGGACACAGGACAGCTCTGTAATGGGGCTACATTTGAACAGCTGGAGATTTGCACGTAACTAAAGAGCCAACAGTTTGGCCACACTGTAGGGCTTCAATTAGGTGACTAACATCTTTATATGCAATTCGTGCTGTTGGAGGGGTGAGAGAAGGAACTGCATGTGGCCAATGGCAGTACCATTGCGTGTGGCTGATGATAGCACTGAGCTATGGGCTGTGACCAGAAAGCAGTGTTGACACCCTGTCTTTGGGGTAGGAGCTCCATGGCCACTGGAGAGAGTTGCTAGCAGTCCCCTCACCCTAACATTCAGGTAACTAACTCCTGCCTGAGCCCTGTATAGAAACTACAAGACGAGCAAACCTCCCTTGATTAGCTCTTCCTTGCATAAACCCTAACACTTCTAGGGGAGGGACAGAGTGGGAAAACTCCCCCATTGCACACAGATACCTTTCATCTTCCCCGAGCCGACGTATGTGGGGCCTGGCTGGTCTGTGCAGACCCCGAGGCAGTGGGAACAACGTGCCTTTCACCGGAGAGGTACCACTCAGCTGCTGAGCGTGTCAAGCCTAAGTGGAGATGCAGTGAAAGGTCTTGTTTACTGCTCTTCTCTTCTGTTTAGTTACACTGATCATGACGAGTGTATGATTCTCTACGGAGACGATCAGGTAAGCACTTGAAAAAGTCCTCCTTTTAAGTTCTTTTCAAATCTCAAACTCTGATTATCTAGTGTTGTCCAATGCTCTTCTGCTTAGCCAGGGAATGGGATAGACTGCGGAAAGGAAACCATAAAAAGTAACTGTGGCGGGGTGAATTGTTGTACCTGTTCAGTGCAGGCAAATGCCTTTCCTGCGGGAGCAAGAGCAGGTCCCTTTTGTTGCTGACCCCTGATATTGTTAGCACTTTATCTCCAGCCACATGACAGAGGAAGGGCCAGGAGTTCTCTGTACACCCAGTTCTGGAAACATGGCTATGTAAGTGTGTGGTCTCCAAGCCTCGGGCCCCAACGCTTGCCCTTGACCTCCTTGAGCCATTTTGTTAACTAGCTAATTTAGAACCCAAAACCTGGGATGTGTAAAGCACCGCTACCCTTCATGCTGGATTCAGCAGGCAATCATGAGCTGAAGGCTCCCAGCAACTCGCAGGATTAGGCCTTACCATGAATTAACTGTGGATGTAGCATTTTCTGTCTCACTCTAAATGCAGAAGGCTGGGGCTGTCTCTCCTCTTCATTTGGAAACTGGCAATTCTCATGTACTCATTACTTTTATTGGTACTCTGGGCTCAATTTTTGCAAATTGCTGAGCAGCTCTGTGAAGCTGATATGTGCCTTCAGCTCTTGCTGGCTTAATCGCTGGTCCTTTGATAACAAATATCTACAACATGAATTAGCCATCTGCTAAACACTGCCCTGTTATATTTGTGCCAAATCCTGAAATCCTTATTTGTGCAAATCTGCCTTAGAGATCAGGGACTGAGGGAGAAAATGAGTGTGTGCCTACAATTTTCTTACAAAACATTTCTTGGCTGCTTCTGTTTTTCAATTTTTTTAGGGCTGTGTCAACATTTTGCTCATGTCCTCTGTGGGAGAACTCCTAAGGTAAGCACCTGTGTTTTAAATATAATGCAAAACCAGGTAAAAAGTGAAGGTCTCTATTGCTGCTCAGTTTGAATGCTGATAAAATCTTTGTGAATTTTTACCAGGTTTAACTTTCTTCTTTTGATCTTATATTGTGCTGTGTTATCTTGGTTTATCTATGGGGCCAATTGATGTTCCCAGTCTAGCTTAGGCTAGAATTACCCACCTGGGGTGGTCCATTCTGATGCTGTTGCATAAATTTCTTTGTGTTTGTGCTAAAACTGGAGGCAGAACAGATGCAGAGACATGCAACCAGATGAAAAATGTCTGTGATACTTTTTCATGATCAAACCAGCAGATGGTGCTTACTGTCTTTACACGTTTCTCAGAGAAACCCTACTGCAGTGTGTGTCCAGATCAGCTTGCTCCTGCACTATCCACTGGTTTATGGTATTTACCAGGGGAAAACTATAAGGCTCTATGGCCACTTGTCACTTTTCAGAGAGGTAAAGGATTGGACACTGAAGCAATACACGTCCTACAGGTAGGGAGCTTTAGGATTCCAAACCTCTATGATTTTGACTATTTCATGGTCTGTTTTCTCAAAATGTTGCTTGGCTGTCATCATAATCATTTTGTTTTTTTTCTTTAAAATTGGAAGGTGGGAGGAGGAGAGCAATTTGTATCATCTCTTTGGACAGCTTTCCAAATGCGGCTTGCAGAAATAGTCTGTGAAAGACAGCTTATGCCTCTTGTATAAGCTTGTCAAGGCCCAGGGGAATCTGTACAAACTGGGATGATTTGAAGTCAATATGGAATAGTGTGTTCTTACAGGAGGCATGTCCTGAGACCACTGCAGCTTGGAAGAAAAGGATGATAAATGTTTCAGAAAAATACCTTTCTGAGCCATTCTAAGCACTGATAGAGAAGTGTTATCCGTTCTGACTGTTAAAGGGAGAAAGCTGTCGGATTCCCACGTGTGTATTTGGGGATTGATTCAGTGCCTGGTGGAAAAGCATATTATGACTCCTGTCAAGTTGTTCGATATTTCTGTACAATTACAGATCTCACTTAAAGAAGGAAAGAACAAAACTTCTAGCTCTTCCTACCCAACAGGCAAGACCTAAACCCATGAATCAAGGGTAACCCAATGCCGAGAAGCTGCAGAGGATATAGTGGTAATGGTGCTGGGGTTAATTATTGCAACCAAGCACCTGAGATAATTGTTTCATCCATCTGATGAAATATGAGAGGAGGGGTCATAGATATCACCTTCAGAAAACTGTGCGGGCTTATTTGTGTGAATAAAGGAGGCTTTAGATACCAGCCCTTATTTTTTGTCAGCAATTTGGGGCTAGGAGAAGCCATGGCGTGGCCAACCCTCACTGCTCTGGACATGAAGACTCAGGTGTCTCCTGCCTGCCTTTGGCAGCTCAGAGGGTGCAGCTCCTTTCTCTGGGGAGTTTAGAAAACCAGAACCCAGTTTGTTGTGGAGATAGGAAGGTGTCTCCATAACACAGCTCCCGCTTGAGAGTGACCCTGCATGAATGACCTGCTGTCTCCGTTCACTATGCCACGTTGGACCCCTGCTTGGATAGACCTTATTAGCTCTCCCTCTGGTTTCTTTGCCAGCTGTATGTCTCCTGGAGCAGCCTGCAATCCAGGATTGCCATGGCAGCTGCTCATAAAAGGCAGCACAGACTGAGGCATTCCCACATGACAAGGCTCAGGTGGGAATTCTCATGCATGTACTAGTCCCCACTGTCCGTGGACGGAGGGGATGAAATACTGGCTTCCAACACTCCAGGAAGGGCAGTTTGCTTTCTCCCCACCTTTACACCTTGACTTTAATTTTTTTCCAGAACATGGAAGAAACTGCCAAAAGCTGAAAATCTGCCAAGCATTTGCCTCGAGAGTGTTATTCTCTCTCCCAGTGTGACCTACATCCGCTGGAAAGTGCACGAGGACTGGGTTACACAGGTAAAACAATAAAAAGTGTGGCGGAGCCACAGGTAAAAAAATAAAAAGTGTGGCAGAGCTGCTCTGTCATTTGACCAGAGTGTGAGCTGCAGCATGCTGGGAAGAAGAGGCTCAGCTACACATTTACACAATTCACTCTCGTGAAAAGAGTTTAATTTGTTCTTATTTATTTGTGTGTTTTTTTTCCTTTCTGTAGACACAAAAACAGAATAGAAAGTAGCCCAGCAAACTGTACCTTCCTGTGGTCACAACTTTGTATTAAATATCATTCTCTCTCATTCTTTGCAGCTGAATTACTATGACTCCATTAAAGCTGTGATTTCTACCTCCAGCCATGAGTTGACAGCTTTAGTAATAGGTAACAATTTTACTTATCTTTAAAACCAGTAGGAAATTCTTTCAAGATAATATGTGCTCTCTGTGCTTCCAGGCTTACAGCTTTTCCAGGTTACTATAGCCCCACCACAGTGGCATTGCTACCTTCATCGCTAGAAGTGGCCTGAAGCATAAACATGTTCTGGGGACAGAGCGGAAGCAGAATTCTCTTTTTTTTTTTCCCCCCCAGAATTATCTATTTTACAGGCACAGCTAGCTTTTCTACATGAGCGGGCAATTCATAAGCCCATCCAAGGCTAGTTAGAAAAGGCAGCAGCCTTGCAGTTGAGCTGACCCGCTTTCCTGACCAGTCTTGCCAACTTTGGCAGCAAATGCAGGAGAGCAAGAGTCACAAAGGAAGTATGCTACTTGGTAATCTATTTCTATGGTCTGAGAGTATCTCTGTCAAGGACCTGCATCCTCAGGTTTTCTCCAAACTACCTTGTTTCCTCCTGCCTGCATGTTTACACTGAAAACTTGGTGAAATCTCAGAAATGTAAGTGTGTTTCTGAGACTGCCGTCTAGTTCTTTTTACCTCACTGGAAATAATGCAAGATAAAAATCTCTGACTGATCAATAACAGTTTGATTTGTTGGTATGTGGGTAGTGTGAACTAAAGATTTTCTAAGTGATACAGAAGTGTGTGTCCTCCTTGGGCGAGGAACTAGCTGGAGAGTGTGGCCTCAGGGGTGCTGTCACAGTCTGAACCCTTAGTGAGAAGTCAGCGTGTTTCAAATGCCTGGAGGACAGACTTTGCATTAATTAAGGTGATAATGTAAAAGTAGACATATGGAATAATTTTTCAGTTTTCAGCTTGTGTCCAGGAATGCTGAGCACCTGCCAATGACTTAAAAAAATGTATATCTAAAACAAATGCTAAATGGCTGCTGAGGAATTATCATGGTGCTAATGGTTTGTATCACATGAAAGCTGACTAACTTTGTTCAGTCCTTAAATAACCAGTCCACAAGAAAAAGACTTACATATACAGTTCCCTTCATTTCCTATGTCTGGGACCACTGTGCATGCACAGCTCTTGTTAGTGGAGGTGAAAAGTGCTCAGCAACTCCATGGCCTCATTTCAGCAAAGCAGCTGAGCAGCTGCTAAATGCTGAGCTCAATGGGAGACATGCAAATGTACTTCCTTGCTTTGATGCGTTAAAGACATAAGAAGGTCTCTAAAATCTGTTTCACTCCCAAGGAAGTCAATTGCAGAGCTCCTATTGACTTCAACTGGAGATATCCCCTCTTTTGAGGGTAAGTAAATAAATACACTTCATCAATATACAGATCAGCGCTCACACAGCTTTGAACCGTGAAATGCTGAACGCTTCTAACATCGCAGTAAGCAGAGTGCCGCTTTGCTGCAGCTTGCTTTATCGCCCAGCCCCGGTGTTCCCCCATCCAGTCTGTCTTCATCTGCCCACAGGAACAGAGTGAGAGAACTCAGTCTCCTCAAGGTCACCTTTAGTTTCCATAGTGACTATTTAAATGTAATTGTCTTATCAATCAGAACCTCCTTTACTTTCATAAGCAGCTATAAAATCTCTTCTGGTTTCTATAGCAACCATCTTTAAACCCATGTATTTGTTTTCTCTAGTCTTAGTTGAATTGTTGGGAATAGTACAAATTAACAGCTGGTACAATATTTCTTATGTTTTTTTCCCTTAAGCTATCCTTAACTGTCATCCAGAAAAACACTTAAAGTGAGACTAGTGTCCTTTTGTTCCCATTAGTTAGAAATCCTCTTTGTCATCTAGCCACATGAGCAATGCATCTTAAAATCGTCATTTTCGTGAGGAACATGAAAACCTGAAGCCTCTGGAGTTCAGTCTTTCCCTTCCCAGTTCAGGCCCCTGTATGTGTCTCTCTCAGACATGTAGAAGAAAAAGTGGTGCGGTTTTGTTATCCTAAATCACTTGTGGTAATAATATGCAAGAATAGTACCTCCCCTCCAGTAACCTCAGCACAAAGTATAGTCATTAGTTAAGAGCAACACTGTGAGTTAGTCAAATATTATTACCCATATAGTATGAAGAACGTGCACAAGGTTAATGGCCCATCTACACTGCAAATCCAATAAATGTCAAGAAGGTTTTTTTTTTTTCAGCCTAAATGTGGTAGTTGCAGACAAAGCTGATACCACATTGTCTATGGTTTCCTTTCACCGAGCAGTAGGCAGACGTACGGTTATCTAAAATAGCTGATACTGGCACAGTGACAGCTCCTCTCTTAGTTCATGATCTAACTATAAACACACATTGTTTTTCAATTTCACAAAGTTCATTTTTCGTAACTGGAGAGTGTGCTTAATTCAAGGTTATAAAATTAGCAATAATTATTCTGCTCTGAAATTCTGTGGCAGCTTTAGCTGGAATCCTCTCAGTAGCAACAGATCACAACCCCACTGTATAAATACTGCTAATTTTGTGTAACTTCCAGGTTGTATAAAAAGGAATATGGAACACTGAATGGGAAGAAAGGACCTGGACTGCCTTTGTGGTGCTGATTCCTACCTGTCCTGGGGTTTTCCTATTCCTTTTCTACTGCCTTGTTTTAGGAAAACAATTATGCTTTAGGACGGAGATGACAGAAGTGTTTGCTTTTCTCTAAAATTCTAATTTTTGTCTGTCACTTGGTCCCTCTGGGGTTTTCCTTTGCTCTCTCCTGCCCAGAAATCATGTGCCAGGGGCAGGTGCAAGCTGTGTTTGTGCCTGTGCATTGGGACGAACAGCACGTGGAAGGACACCAGCAAAGCTGCTGTCAGTCCGCATTGCTCCTTGGTAAAAAAATTGCCAACATTGTGGAAGAAGTTCAAGGAAGGGTTGGAAAAAAACCAGCTAGGTAGCTGGGGTGGGCTCACTTATTAGAGAAGATCAAAACAGCTCTGTGTCAACTAATGAGAGACTCAGTATCTATCATCAAAGATTAGGTATAGGAGGAGGAATACATCAATATGATAAAAAAGGGTATGATTTAACTACTTCTAAAATTAAGAAAGATGAAAATCTAATAACTCAGGATCATAATGCCTAATTCACAAAGGGTGGTAGGTAGTCTGGGGGCTTGGACTCTTTCCAGCTGCCCGGCTTTGCGGAGTGAGGTTTCTTTGTTTTTCCAGGGTGCACTGTTGGAGCTACTAATGTTGAGCAGCAGATGAAAGAAATACAGGAGCCTGGGAAAGGCTCAAAAGGAAGGAAAGGGCAAATGGCAATGGGATCTCCTCCAAGGAGAGCCGAAGGGGATCAAACTGTGTTCCGAGTCCACAAAGGAGTAAAGACATTTGCATTCAGTAAGAGAAACAACCTGCTTGTGACGGGGGGAATGGATCGAGCCATCCGGCTGTGGAACCCCTACATGCCCAGGTGAGGGGCTTGCAACGCCCGTCAGAGGGCTTCAGTGGGCCGGGTCGCAGCCCTGCATGTGGCAGGCGAGCTATTCCCACCAGCTAACTATGCCCCTGCCTTTGGGTGAAGGAGGCAACTCGCTAGCATCTTTAACAGTCTGTGAGCTCAGGAACACAGCTGCTTGGCATTACTTCTGATAGCAGTCAGGTGCTCAGGAGCATGGCATTGCAGGTCTTTATTTTTAAGAATACTGCACCCCGTTAGCTCATTGAAACCCTAGTGAAAAACATCTTCTATAAGTAGGTGTTTTACCAAATAACAAACTGTTTTCATTGAAAGCTTGGCTGGAGCTTTTCCTCATCAGTAAGCTCCCAATCCTGCAGCATTTTCTGCTAAAACAGATGCCTTTAGGAGGAGGAGGAGGGGGAGGGCCTTAGACTCCGAGTCATGGCTTTGTCACATCATTGTACATTACCAAGACTCTTGGAAATCTAATTACAGGCCAGAAGGCCACTGTGTTGCGTGCTGTGCAGAGAGGGAATGCCAGGAGCACAACAGAATTGGGAGTTTGCAGCAGAGATGAAAGCAGGCAGAGGTGGGGAGCACAAGGAAGCAATGAAGCAGTACTTACTAGCAGGAAGAGCTGCTTTCTGCAGGTAGATGTTTGCAGTACCTCTGTCTTCATTTTAGTGAAGAATTGCTGTTGCTAAAATTTTCATGAGAAAACTTGCAGCACAGCTCTCCAAAATGCAAGTATTAATAGATTTAGGGCCTTTATATTTTACTTGGCTTAGTAAGAAACTCACAGATTGAAACTGCTTAGTATTGAGCTTTTCTTATTTAAATTTCAGCCGATGCACAGGCATACTCAGAAGCCACACAGCACCAATCTTTTACCTCCACATATCTGAAGAAGATGCTAAGATAATATCTGTGTCCACAGATAACACTGTTAAGGTCTGTAGAGGGTACTGATATAATACTCTTGTTCTTTCTATGTAAATTTACTGAAATTTTCCAACTTCTGAATGTGTAACTAGTATATAATCTGCACAGAGTAAATGCATACTTTTGCCTGTATTGCCAGCATTTACAATTCTGAAGACAAATACTCAGCTTTTGGGACGTTGGGGTTATCTCTCTAAGTTTAACTTGGCACCTTTGAGCATGTGTATTACCACACAGCATAACTGTGCCCAGGGCTAACCGAGGGCACCGACCCCAGCCAAAGCAAGGCCTGACCCAGTGCTTTGCTTGTGATCAAAGACCAGATGAGACTTCTGCTTCAGGTCCCCCTTCTCCCTTTCATAAATTGCAGTGGCTCCAAAAGGGGTGTGCACAGCTATGAACTGGCCAGAAATGAGAGCAGGATTTTTCCTCTTGGTCCATTTGCAGACACTTCCAACAATCCTTTTTGCTACTGAGCCTCTGGTCCTTGCAATGAAATGCTGCAAAATAGGCAAAAGCTTACTGCCAGATTTCCTACTGTCCTCCTGCAAGCGTGCGAAGTGCAGCCTGGGCAAGATGCTCATCTGCACACTGAGGTGCATCAGGCTCTACAGTAAACCACATTCTCTTTTCTTCTTTCTATTTTCCCCATAGATTTGGGATGCTGAGGACCAGAGCTGCTTGTTTTCAGCTTGTTCAAAAGCAAGTGGAATCAAGGGCAAGCTCTCTGCTTGCCTCTATGCGCCTGGCACACAATCACTTTATGTTGCTGCAGATACACTTGCTCTCCTTTACCTAAAATTGAGGTAAAAGGTGGCTGGGGATAAGGGACGGGGGAGAGTATTTTGTGGCTTTTTTCAGAAGTCTGAGGTTGGGTAAATGTGGGGCATGTGAGAGAATAGTTTACTAAGGACTCGCAGGAGTGCCATAATGGAGGCAGATGAAGAGCACATTGTTTGTAAGGACTAAAAGCCTCATTCTCCTTATCTCAGATTTTAGCGCCTTTTAAACCCAGCATCCTTCTTTGCCATCTTTGGCTGATGAATCAGGAAGAAGATGAATCACAGCTCCAAGTGTTCCTACCCTCTGTGACACTTGCAAAGTTTGGCCCAGCGGATCGGATCCCTGATCCCTATCTCGGGAGCCCTGGGGGAAACGCTGGGTGAGAGTAAGGAGGGTAAACTATGCGCTTTGTGAGTGACTGCAGTGTTTTTCCATGAAACAGGCCTCTGCCAGAGCACCGCTTGGTAGTTTCTCACGTGGAGCCCGTTCTGTGCTGCAAGTATAACAGAGCGTTCAGGCAGGTGGTGAGCTGCTCGGAAGGATCTGTAAGTGAAAACTGAATTGCGCTAAAGAGGTAGTGCTTCTGACAGCCTCGTGTGAGTGTTAGCTATTTTCTGTCTGCCTGTGCATTTTTAATGCCCTGCTTTCTACAGCAGCCCGTATGGAGAATATTATAGAAGGTATAAAGCAGCACATATCCCATTCATCTTCTGGGTAGCTGCTCCTGAGAACATGAATCTGTTATTTATGCTGCTCCCTTTCCTGCTCCCTGATCCCATCAGTTGTGCCTGTCTAGAGTCTGCAGTGGGTTTTCCCTGGGATAAATGATTCAAGTAGTGATAAGCCCCAGCAGCTGTGCTGGGGGTGCTGCTGCAGGAGTTTCATCTAGAGTTAAACTGGTAGGAGAACCGTTAATATAGACCAGTACCTTGTTTTGGTTCTTTGCTCAGCAGGCTCTTGTGTCCCTGCAGGTGGGTGGCCTCGGTCCATTGCACTGAAGCCTCTTGACTTTCAGCCCTTCTGCACTGACACGTCATCTGGTGGTCATCTGCTACACAAACTAGTGCAGCTTCTGTAGGAGGGACTGTAGGTACCAAAATCACCGGATATTGGATTAAAACAGGGCTGGCAACACTACTGTCTCTGTCAGTCTTCTGAAGGAGATGGGATGCGCTCTGAGCACAGTCACAGGGCAGGTCCTGCAAAGGAGGCCAGTGTCGATGGACCTGTCCTGTGACCCCAGGAGCGCAGCAGCACGCAGTGGGGAGGAGCCCGGACGTGGGCAGCTGTGTGCCACCCAGCAGTGGATGTTCACACCACAGGGGCTTTATCAGCAGAAACACATGTGCTAGACACCCAGAGCCGTGTTCATACAAGGGCCTTTAAGCACTAACCCCCACTGAAACCTGTCCTCTAGCCCCCAGTGTAGTATTACTGAGGTAGATATTTGAGACGTCAGTAAAGGGGACAGAAGGACATGGCTTTTCCTTGCTGTTCAACAGAAAAGAAAGCCAGGGCATGAAGGTGAGGACCAGGAGTAGGAACTGAAATGGAAAGTTTGAGCTTCTTTTCAGGCTCCGACTTTCTTTGACTTTTTTTTCTTTCATTATAGACAGTTAAAGTGTGGGATTTTGAAACAGGAAAGCAGTTATTTGAGTTCACCAGGGCCCATGGAGACGCAGCAATTACCTGTTTGACTTTTGATGGCAGTGGAAGAAGGTACATTTCTTTTTGTGTTTATTAAATCTCTGTAGGCATTATTGCTAGTACATGCAGAAAAAGACATTGAATTTGAAACTTGTGTTAGATTGGTTACAGGAGGCCGAGATGGATGTTTGAAGATATGGAATTACAATAACGGGCACTGTCTGAATACTCTGAAGAGGGGTAAGCGGTTTGGGAATATGTGGAGGAAAGATTGGAAAATATTTAAAGAGCATAAATGAGGATGGATTGGTTTCTTTTCTCCTGCAGAAGGAAAGTGTGACGAGATCTGTGACTGCACCTATGCGGTGGTGAATAGGAGCAAGTAAGGTCTTCCACAGCATTGAGTGAGCCTTGTCCCAGGGGCGGATGCGTTTGGTGGGAGTTTATGCAGCAAGTAACTATGCTTATCTGTGGGAAGGTGCTCCCCTGAGACATTCCTGAAGGATTAGTCAGATATATGTGCCTCAGAAAGAAACATGTATTGCAGCTTCTGCAAAGAAAAAAAAAAACAAAAACAAAACCAAGCAGAGGCGTAGTGCGGACAAACGGAGCCGCCCAGCCTGACCAAGCGGGCTCAGGTTCTCAGTGACCGCTCGTAAGGGCAGGCTCAGTTTGCGCATCCACGGTGAGGCAATGTCTAGGGGACCCCAGTCCTTCCGGAGAGCCTGCAGGATGGAAAGAGGTTAGCTGGGAAAGGGTCTGTCCCAGGGGCTCCCCCCTGCCACACACATCCCCATACCACCTGCAAAGGCAGGGATCCCAGGGGAAGGTGCCTACCCCTCCTAGGATCCCCTAGGAGAGAACACATCCTGCCTGCAAGGACAAGACTAAACGTTGTGAGCTGTCTTGCTTGGGACAGAGTCCTTTAGCAATGGCAGAACTGATCCTGAGCTAAGGACTGAGCAGAAAACTCTTGTCAGTTGGATTTTACATTTTTCAGCTGTCCCCGTCAGCTGTTTTATCTGTCCCTTCCCTTCTACATATGCATTTAGACACATGTGCAAATCAGATGGTGCTCTAAAAGTCAAGCTGTCTGGTGCCATTGCTCTGCTACATCATAGACAGTATACCTGTGCTATTTGTCTCATAGCATCGCATATAAGTCGGAGCCTATTACGTGAAGCATAGTGCCACGCACATTGATGAAGAGCTCTGTAGTTTCTGAGAGGAAGAGTAAGATCAGAGTGGCACATTGCAGATAACTGCTTCATCCTTTAGAAACCAGTGGGTAAATTTGACCTTGTATGAATATTTAAACTAGCCATATTTAAATACTGCCTCTCTTTTTAATTTTGGAAAAGTTTGTTGATAAAGCAAACGCATCCTGAGCAGTGTCCTGAATGTTCTCCTAGGTATATCGTAGCTGTTGGATGGGACAGAAGAATAAACGTGTACTTTGTAAGTAGAAGGACTGCATCTGAAAGGGATGATCTATTAGCATAAAAATATTGGTATAAAATTCCTATTTTCAGTGAAAACCAGAACTCAGTGTTTTGATCTTGTAAAAACTGAAAAGGAACAAAAAACGTTTTACCACCAGTAAAACCTTCTGTCTGGGCTTGAAACCAAAAATGTATCCAAGATGCACAAAACCTGAGAGATCATCCCACAGGGCAAGTGGTGTTAAAATGGGCCTCCCTGCTTCTAGATTGTGATGGTGCTCAGCTCAGAAAGCAGGCACAATTTTGTGGCTTTCTCTAAGGCTTGTGTTTGTGCCCGGCGGATGACACTCTGATTTGCCTGGTAAAACTGCAGTTGCTTGGGTTTGGATTGACCTTGGGGGCTGGGAGTAATTCTTTTGAGTTTGGCTTGACTAATCAGTGCAGAAAGTTGGCTGTATCTGTACATCTTTGCTCAGTAAGTGCCACAATGTTTTCTTGTCCTCTGAACTCAGAATTTTGAGCCATTCATACAGCAAAATCTGTGTAAAGCTTTATCTGGCTGTGATCAGAGAAACGTGTAGTTGTCCATTGTCAGATAGCCAAATCATGGTGACCTCTACCAAGGTTAAATTTAAAATGCAGAGAGGAAACATATTACTTCTAGTGATATGAAGGGCTGGTGTTTCCTCATAAGATGCAGGATTTCCTTCTGTGCCCTTGGGAATTAGCAGCAGGCATTACATATTAGGTATCTTCCTACAAAGAAATTTTCAAATGGACATTTGTTGAAACCAAACATATTGGCTTCAACAAACTGGGTGATGTTGCAAATGGGACTGAGAGGGAAAGAAAAAGATAATACTTAGCTTTTAGCTATTCTGGGACACTTCTCTTGCTTTCTTTTTCTTTAAAAGAAAGAAACAAACAAAAAAAGTACTTCATCCTAAATTGAAACAAAAAGCAATTTAGGAACCTCTTTACCTTCTGTGAAGTGGAATTCCCATTTTCTGGCCAGCTCTTTTTGCAGGTAGGACTGTTCAGACTGCATAGCGCTGGCCTTCCCTCCTGCTGAGCAGGTGAATGTGTGTCTGGGGAGAGGGAGAGCAAACCCCTTCCAGCTATGGATGTACCAGTGTCTCCCTTGTCTGTCGTCTTTGGTACAGGACTGCACAGAGGAGCTTCATCATGTTCAGAAACCTCAGCCCTTTTGGCAGGATGACATAGTAAGAACCCACCTCGAGTATATTTCAAACACATTTTTAAGGAGACCAGTAAGCTATGGCACTATTTAAGTCAGCATGGCTCAACAAATAAATACTTGGTCTAGATTTAATTTAGGCAAATGATATTTTTGTAATCAGCTGTTAATTTAATTTTAGCAGCACATATGCCTTGGTCACTAGTTTTCATAATGTCTAGGAAAAGTCAGAGACTTAGTCAGAGAAATAGCCTGAGCTCGGGGAAGAGGAGACAGATAAAGCTGAATGTTTGTGAGCTGAGATGGGAGGTGGAAAGGAGGTGCCACCAAACCTGCAGCAGACTCATGGAAAACACAAGACTTTCTGGAAGGGGACGTGGAGAAGGGAGAGGTTATTCTCATGCCTTGTGTATAGGACATTAGACTGAGAGCAGGAATCACTCCTTCTAGGCTCTTGCGTGGGATTGGACCAAGCCAAAGAGCCTGCTGAATAAAAGGGAAGGATGAACAATTTTTCCTTCATGGCTTTTTTTCCATTTGCATCCAGACCCAAGGTCATAAAGAGGATATCCTGTGTGTTGCTTATTGTCCACCGACTCTGCTCGCCACAGCTAGTTACGATGGTGAAATTATAGTTTGGAACATGAACTCTGGCTGCATCTATTGCAAACTTCACACTCCACTTCCTGCTG